CTGTCTCCTCCTCCCTGCTCTGGTCCCCTCACCTTTCTTTTCTCTTTCCTATCCCTCTCCTGGGCCTCTCCTCTCTCACTCCCTCCCTCCCTCTCTTCTATCCCTCCTGCTCTCTCTCCCTCCTGCTTCCTCTCTTCTTTCGTTTTTTCCTGCTTTTCTCTGCCTCTCACCTTCTCTTCATCCTGTCTCTTCACTCTGTCTGCCCTCCTCTCCCCTCCTCTCCTATCTCTGTATTTCTGTTCCAATCTTCTCTCTCCCTCTTCCCCCTACTCCTGCAGTAGAGCACTAAGGTTGCAGTTCGCTCTCCCACTGAGGCAATTCTTCCACCCAGGGGACCAAGAGGGAAGGGAGGAGGTGGTGAGCTGCACACATGCTTGCGCATGTTCCGCATGTTCAAGGACTATAACCAAAAGCCCCTCTCCCCACTTTGGCCCTGGGAGGTCACCCCGGAGTGAGGTCGGGGGCTGGGAAGCTTCTCCCTCATCATTATTCTCTCTTAGCAGCACCGAGCCTGGACGTGTCACACAGCAGGGGACCAGGGGATCCAGTCCCGGTCATCTCCATCCCTCAGTATCAGTGGGGAGGAGCGAGCCTGCCTTGGTGGTGACCTGAGGAAAGGAGAGGAGAGGTGCACACACTCATCCGTGCCAGTGCTCTCCGGGACACCCTCCGTGTGCAGGCCCTTGCCAGCAGAGCCACCTTCTGGGGCAAGGGCCTAATCTGGGAGAGCAAGGAGACAGCCCCTGCCCCACCGGCTCTCCAAGTGTGGTCCCAGACCAGTAAGTGGTGGCAGCAGCAGCATCGCTTGGGAACTTGTCAGAAATGCAGATTCTCAGGCCCCTCCTCAAACATGCTGAATGGGAAGCCGTGGGGGGCGGGCAGCGATCCCAGGAGTAACAAGCCCTCGGGGTGACTGGGCTTTCCCATTTGGTTAGGGAGCCACTGCCCGACCGTGAGGGGGCCGAGTTTAACGAGGGAGGCCCGGTGCCCGCCTCCAGCAGCTCCCAGTCTGATGGGAGCGATGGGACCCTCGCCACCTGACAGAAAATTCCCATCAGAGGGGAACACCTAGGCTTTTCACCACAAGTCCCTGCATGAGATCCCTCCCTGCGGGAAGCATCGGATCAGGTTCTTTGGAGGAGGCTGGCTGCAGTTCCGACCCCAGAGAACTCTCTCCTCCCTTCCCTCCCCATTCTTCGGAAAGCGGGTTTGATGTGCTAATGAGGGCATCAATTAGCATTCATTACAATGACAAGCGGGGGAGGAGGACCACAGGGAATGGGGGAGGGTCTTTAAAAATGTACTGCCACTTGCTCCTCTCCTACGGGGTGGGCAGGGGAACGGGGAGCTCTGAAGGCGAGAAAAGAGATTCAGGGGCTCTTGGAGCTCAGGCTGTGGCCAGAAAGCCCTGGATGCAGGCCTGGGGCAGAGGGAAGCACCTTTTTCCTCCTCGGCTCCCCCAGTGTCCCCTCTTCTGCCCCAGCTACCAGGTCACTGTCCCTGGTCACTCTCCCCAGAGCAGGACCAGACCCCAAGCCCTCACTGCCCTTAGGCTACCTTTGGTGGAGTGCGGATGGTTTCTTGGGGGCTCCCAAAGTGCCCTGGCCAGAAAACTGCCCCGCTGACAGGGGGCTCTCTCAAGGATATTGAGGGGGGAGGGCTTCAAGGCGGCAGAGTGAGCAGTTCAGGGTGTTCCATGTCATTTCCATATCACCCTCCCACCCTACCCTTTCCTATAGAGACCCACGTGCCCATCTCTGCCCACCCCAAGCCTCATTGCCCTCTTCCTGCCCAGGTGCAACCCCCATCTCTGCTGCATCTTGGGGAAGGAGAGGCAAGGCCGAGCCTTCTCCCCTCTAGGGTGCACCCCCATAACTTCCCTCTGGCAGGCTCCCAGGGACAGGTGAGGGCTGGGTGGAGTGTTAGGATTAGCGTTAGACAGGGGCAAGGTGAGTGGTTAAGATCTGTGATTCCCATCCCCTAACATGCCAGCTGTTCCCTCCTGACCAAGTGCACTGCCAGAGACACAGGGGAGGAGGCCAGAGGGAGGTTACCTGTTGAGGAATGAGAGTGGGGGCGGGGTGGCACCTGACACATCTCAGGTGGAGGCAGCTGGCACATTGGTTTTGCCTGGGCACCATGCCAGCTTACAGGAGCGATTCTCATCTCTCGGCTGGAGAAGTAAGACCTGTGTTGCTCTAGCCCTGATCGGTGGAGATGGCATCCCCAGCCTTCTCCCTACACCAGAAGCCCCTCCTTTTGAGGTCTGATGGGAGGCAGAGGAGGCACCCATCTTCCCTGAAGTGGGGGAGCAGAGCGAGGACCAGGTGGGGTCAAGAAGGGGTGATGTGACAGTGCCAGGCCATCTGCCTTCCAGCTCAGCTTGGAGCCTTGGGGTCTTTGCTCCTGTTCAGGGGCTGTGTCCCTTCTCAACCCTCCATGGGACCCATGGACTGCGTTGTCCTGGGCAGGATGGGTGTGGATGAAGCATCTTTGGGGAACTGAGGGGAGGAGGGGGTCCAATGAGCTCACGGCTATGAAGATGATCAGAAATGTTAAGGAGTCATCATTAAAAAGTGAGCTATGCAAATAAAAAATATTACCTAAATCTGATTTAAGCTCCTCCCCATAGAGAGGCCCTCACAATCCGGTAGCTCACCTTAGGGTGGGGGAAAAATGGATGCTTTGTTCTGCTGAAACTTTTGGAACTGTTCCCAATCCCTGAGCCTGGTTCACAGAACCCTTCCCACCCAGTCCCAAGCCAGTGACTTCTTGGCATCTCGTGTAAGGGCAGAAAGATCTCTATGTGAGGGGACAAGCATCCTTCCCATTGTCATCTAGGGGATAACACCCAGTGCCTTATTACTGACATAACTGTATATCTTAACTCTCAGCCACAATCCTGATCTCAGTTCTCTTCTATACGTAGAGTTATGAGACTTTGTGTGCCAGGGGGTGGTCTCTGCTTCTGGCAGGCCACAGGGCTAGGAAATGACAGAAAAGAGGTTGGCAGATCTGGGTTTGAGTTTCCCCTTTGCTACTCTTAGGTTGGGCAGTTGGCTATACTCCCTGAGCCCCAACTCTTTTATTTCTGATATAGGCTTGAAAGTGTCCACTTCTGTAGGGTTGTTGAAAGGGTTAAAGTAGAGATTATGGGTAAAGCACCTGCTGATTCCCTTCCCCTTAGGGGGAACAAAGTGGGGGAGACAAGAGATCTTGTCCCTTGGGGGGAATCTGAGTTGGGGGGAGGTAAAGGGCAGGAGTCCTGTGTAGTCGAGAGGGGAGCAGGATGGAGGAGCAGCGTGTGCCCAAGCACTGGACTCCCAGAGGCTTGGGAGGCGGTGTCCCTGTGGAGGGGAAGATACCCCTACCCACTCTGAGCCCTCCCCTACACAAGGCCTGCTGCCTCCCATGCCCATCCTGGGCAGGCAGCCAAGCAGGGAGCTGGATGTGTGCCCACTGCACGCTCAGAGGCCAAAAAATGGGCACCATCCAGTTGGCAGAGGGAGAGACAGCTGGCCCAGGAGGGGAGAAGTCAGGGTGCCGACTGCTGGGGTCGTGTGCCCAGACGGTGTGTCCAGAACACAGCTCTTGGCTGCCCTCCTGAACCCTCCAGCTGGAGCTAGGAAGGGCCCCTCCTCCTCTGGCCCTGGTCCTGGCCCTGCCACCTGAGTTGCTGCAACTGGAGACTGATCTCTGAGGGGCATCTGGGACTTGCCCCTAGCTGGGGGTGTGGCTGGCTCAGGGGCAGGCCTGGGGGAGGACAGGAAAGTGGGAGAGCCCAGATTAAGGGTGCAACTGCGTAGACCAGGAAGTAGGGAAACCGGTTTGTCATTTGGGCCACTTGGGGTGGGGTCTCCTCTCCTGGGCTCTCTGCCTGCCACTCTGCCTGGTGGCCCATGGCCGAAGAGATGTACTGTGCCCCTCTCTTGCTCATCTAAATTGGTTTTGGGAACGCCAGAAGTAAATAGAAGGGGCAGGGGACGCAGCCCACCTTCCTCTTCTCCAGAGAAGCTCGGGAGAGAAAGCACTGGCCGGAGAACCCTCTCCGGAGGGAGACAGGGAGGGACGGAGGAAAGCAGCAGCTGGAGGACCAGGAGGGGTCAGCGCGGGTCTTGGTCCAAGCTGGAGAAGTCTGCGGAGCCAACAGGCAAGCCAACCAAGGTGGGACTGGGAGGGCTGGGGTAAGGCGGGGGTGGAGCAGAAGCTGTTGCTCGGCGGGCTGCTGTGCAGGTGGCAATGGCGCCGCCAATTGAGGCGTGAGAAGGGACAGAAGCTGAACGTCCTATTTGGAATCTCACTTTGCAGATAAGCATCGACGCCCCTCACTCTCACCACGCGCCCGTGCAATTCCCGCACACGCCTGCAGGAGGGGCCGCAACCAGAAGTGGGGGGAGGAAGCCGTCCAGCAGGGGGCGCCGGGGAATCGGGTTTCCCTCCGCTGAGCAGTGTCTAAGGAGAGAGGGAGACGTGAGCGGGGTGAAGGGTCGCGCCGGCAGAAGCTGGGGAGGGTCCAGACACTCCCTGCTTAGGGCAGCTGTTGGTTTCCGAGGTCACCTTGGCTGAAGAGTGACCCCCCGGTCTCGCCTCCCCGCCCCGCCTCGAGTGCTTTTCCGCCTCAAGGCGCGCTCGGGCTTGGAGACCCAGGAGTCCCCCACCCTCGAGGTGTCCCTCCTCCCCCAGGTGCCTCCTCTGAGGCCGGTCCCCGGTCAATGTATTTGTCCCTATCGTGACGCGAACACTTCTTGGGGTGGGAGAAGCAGGTGGAATGGGGAGGGGCTCATGAGCGCGCCCCGCACCCCTGCCCGGGCCGCGCGCCGCGGGATCCCGCGTGCTGCTGGAGGGCGCCAGAAGGCGCAGTGCTCCCCCCCTCCCCTGCTCCCTGCCACACCGGGCGGCCCTTTGTACGTTCCGGCCGCACGCGCGTGCCCGCGCCGCGCGCGCTCCCGCCCGCAGTGACACACCCGCGCCAGCGCGCGCGCGCGCACACACACACATACACACTCGCTCTCGCACACTCGGTGACACGCCCGCGCGCGCGCGCACACACGCCCGGCCGCCGGCGCCCTCCCAGCTGGTCCACCCCGGCGGGGCCCGCGCCCCCGGCCCGCCCGCCTGGCACCGCGCCCCAGGGCTGGGGCCGAGCGAGGAGCCCGCGAGGCGGCGAGAGGGCGAGCGCCAGGCAGGCCGGCCCGGGGCCCCCGCCCCCCGCGCCCCCGCCCGATGGGGAACGCTCCGTCCCAAGGCATGTCCCTGTCTCTCTCCTCCCTAATGTGCCTCCATGCTTAAGTGGAAGGTATTTCTGTTTTCTTTGTGTGTTTTCCCCTCGGCCGGGGGCGGGGGCGGCGGCCGGGCCGGGGAGGCGGTGGCCGTTGGGACGAGGGATGCTCTGGGCGCAGGTGTGTGGGGGGCAGGGGATCGCTATGCTCCGGGCTTGGGAGAAGGACCCGGGCGAGAGGAGTGCTGGGACCAGAGAGAGGGTCTGGGGTGGCGAGGTTGGAGGCAGGTTGGGGAGGGCCTCACGGCGCCCGGGGCAGGGAGCCTGAGGGGCTAAACTGGAAAGGGGTTTGTGTGGAGGGGGGAGGGGTGGGGAGAAGAAGGGAGATGGATGGTGAGGAGAGTGGGGGAGGGGAGTGGTCCATCCGAGGTGAAGGAAGAGGAAGATGGAGGGGGAGGGAAAGGGGATGGTGAAGTGAGGGGCACATCAAAGGCCTCTCTCCCCCAGCTCCCAGAATGGGGTGCAGGCGCTGGGATGGTGGTGGTGGGCCCTTTGCGCCAGCCCAGGAAGGGAGAGATGAGTGCATTCTGGGGCTGGCTGTGTTGCCAGGATACGAGCCTGTATTCCACCCCCCACCCCCACCCGCACCTCGAGGCCCCAGCCCTGGAGACCTCTGAGCCTCAGCAGCAGTTGCAGAAACTGGGGACCCGCTCCCCGCTTGGCCGGCGGGTAGGGAAGGCCCACGAGAGGGAGGGGCTTAGGGAGGGGCTATTTGATCTTAAACCCTCCCCCTGCGGAGGCCAGAGGGCTGGGGAGGGCGCCCCCAACTGGGGAGGGCATCTAGGGGGCGTGAGGGGGTAGGGCCTGCAGGAAGCTGGGGGGCAGAGGGTGGGGCTGGGAAGGGGACGCACGGTGGCCCCCCCTCCCCTCCCACGCACCCCCCTGCTACGTCAGAAGCTCCCGGGCCAGCTCCCGAGTCCTGTCGGTGGGGGCAGCAGGATGCTGGTGGAAGCAGAGGGGACCGGCCGGGTGCCTCCGCAGCTCGGCTGGCAGGGCCCGGCGGGGCGTGTGCGGCTGCTAGTGCGCGCCCCCCAGCCCCACGCCTCCCCATGCAGCCCTGGCAGTGCCTCCGGCGCTTTGCCCTGGCCTGGTGGGAGAGGACAGCGGAGGGCAGAGCCCGCTCTCCCAGGGAGGAGGCTGGATCGAGGGACCCTGGGGGCCGAGGGGAGCCAGGTGAGCAGGCACTGGGATGTGTGCAAGGAGGGGATCCTCGACTGTCTTTCCCAGCCCCTCTCCTCAAATAGTATGGGACCAGGAGGTCCTGCAGCCCCCAACTTTGGGGGAAGTGGGTTTCCCGGAGTTGGGGGTTCTGGCTGAAGCCTTTCAAAAGGAGGTGTAGGAGCGACTGTCTGTTTTGGGGAAGGGGAAACAGATGAGGGTTGGGAGTGGGGAGAAGCTGGGCAGACTTCCAGGTTTGTGGGCCTGAATGTTCCTTTGGGTGGGGCTTGAGCACTTTTGGGGGGTGGTTAACATACCTGGTTAGCTAGTTCTTCCCGACTCTAGGTATCTCTGTCTGGGGTCTGGGTGACCTTGAACCAACTGCTTTGCTGTCTAACTCTGTGCCTCAGTTTCTCTCATTCCCTTCCCGATTCCTCTTGTTGGTCTTAAAAAATTGATGATGCATTTGATGGAGGCTGTCACTGTGAAAATGTGAGCTCTGTCATCACTGATGGCATCTGTGATGGTAACAATTTCTGGCGTGGATGTGCGTGTGTATGTATATGGGGAGCAGTTATGGTGTATGTCAGGGGTTTTGCTGATGCTGGTTGGTGTTGGGGCCACTCCAGGCAAGTGTCGGGGACTGGCATTCACACAGAAAGGAGTGTGCCAGGCAAGCTGAGAGTTGTTGGGGCAGAGACTTAGCTGGTGGCCTGGTGTAGAAGCAAGGGATGGGGGTGAGGGCTCTGGGCATAAGGGGAGGGGGTCCCAAGAATAAGATCCCCCTCCCCCAGCTCCCCACCCAGACTGCCTGGCACCCAGGCACCACTGGCAGCAAGTGCAAAGGCTTTGCCCTGGCTTCCTGCCATCCTGCCTTGGGGACAAGAGGGTCTTTGTCCAGTACCCCCCCCACAGTCCCTGCTCCTTCCGCCCTTTCCATGATGGCTGGTTCTCTGTGATGACCCTCAGGGCTGGGATGGAGGGGTGAGGGTCCCCTTTCTGGCTCCCACTGTCTATGCCCTGGAGATCTATCTGGAAGAAGCAACTGTGGTCTTCAGGCAGCGCTGAGTGGGGAGAGGGAGCTCCACCAGGGGAAGGGTCCCTGGAATTAGCTCTTTGGAGGGCGACCCCCACCCCAGGCTTTCACCCTGCCCCTCTACTTGCCTCCTTGCCTAATGCCGGGGTCTGGGGTCTTCATGGCCTGATTCCCGGGGGGCTCCAGGCTTCTTAAAGATGTGCCGGGTTGGACACTGGGATGTAGGGCCTCTCTGATGCTCTCTCTCTCTCTCTTCTTTTCTCTCTCTTCCTTTCTCTCTCTCTCTCTGTCTCTGTCTCTGTCTCTGTCTCTCTCTCTCTCTCTCTCTCTCTCTCTCTCTGTCTCTCCAGGGACCCACCCTGGAAAAAGAGTTTAATTAAAACCATTGATTCCTTCTTTGGCTGTGGGCATCGATCTCAACGGTGTGGTCAGAGCTGGGGGTGGGGGTGGGGGTGGCATGACTGCCATCTGCCCAGTGCCAACCTTGGCATTCTCTGCTGAGCGCCAGCCCTGGAGGTGTCCAGGATGGAGGGTCCTGGGCTCTTTGAAGTACCAGGTCTGTTTAGCCCCCCAGCCCCCACCCCCCCAGGTTAGGTTTTGGGGAAGACAGGGTTGAGGATTTGAAGGAGGGAGCTGTGTCTGGGGCTCGAGGAAGTGTTCGTGGTGTCTCTCATCCTGAGTGTGGGCCTGGGGCACAGGAAGAGGCAGCTGTGGTTGGGAGGCTCCTGCAAAAGGGGGGTCAGGAGGCAACCGAGGGGGCCTGTGGGTGCCAGGGCAGGTAGAGAGTTCAGAGGGAGGATCCAGGGCTTGCCATAAAAGCTTCTCTTTCGAGGAATCCTAAGCACTTATCTCCTCCAAGCCCTGGCAGGGAGATCTGTTTTCTTCCTTCATTTATGTCCTCGAGGCCCAGAGAGGGACAGAGACTGCCTTCTAGGCCCAGCAGGCCTAGGTCTGGCTTTAAGCCCGGCTTCCTGGCCTGGTGGCCCCTGCCTGGGCACGAGGTGCTGAGGGTGAGGCTCCTGGCAGCCTAGGCTCTGGTCTCTAGGGTTGCTGGGGGTTGGGGGGCAGGCTGTGCCCCCAAGCCCCGGCTGCCTGCTGTGGGTGGGCTGCTGCAGGTGCAGGCTTCAATGAGGCACTCAGACGCTCTTTGAAGAATCCCTCCTTGGCTTCCTAGGGCCCATTCGAGCAAAGATAATAAAAATCTGGCCGTCAGCGGGTTTGAGGGCTGCACTTGCTTCCCCTTCTTTCATTCCCAGCTCTGAAAAGCTGAGATGAAGGCTTTGGATTTGGCTGGGAAGCAGCGCCTGCCCGAGGGAGGGAAGAAGGGAGGGAGGCAGTGAAGGAGGAGGGAGGACTGATTTCCTGGCAGCTAGGGGAGTTGCTGGGGAGGTGGGCAGAGGGGCAGGGGCATGTCCCCAATTCCTGCCAGGCAGCCTAGATCCTCAGTGTCTGGACTCCTGCACTCGACACCTGGGCTCCGCTTTGTTCTCCGTTCCCTGGGGCTCCAGAGCGCTCCGCTCTCTGCCCCTCAGTTTTCTCCCCTCCCCCAGCCAGGCTCCCCCATTTCTTCCCCATCTCCCCTCCCCCTCCCTGCCCCTCAGCTCCTCCTGCTCTGCCCTGCTTGCTCTCCACACCCAACCCCTGCTTCTGTCCTCCTTGCCCCCTTTCTCTCTCTGACCACCCTCCTAGCTGTGTCTTCCCTTCTCCCCAGCACTGGCCCAGCTTTCTAGGACTGTCTGGAAGGTTGAGAAGCCAAGTTGGGGGTGGGGGAGGGAGGCAGCCAGGGCTGCAGCCTCAGAAGGGACGGGCCTGGGCTGACTATGATGGCCTGTCAGGTGCCATGGTTATCAGAGTCCAGGCAGCTGGGGGCTGCGGAGCACTTAGGGATGTGTGTGTGTGTGTGTGTGTGTGTGTGTGTGTGTGTGTGCGCGCGCGCGCGCTTGCCTGTGTGGCGAGGGCGCCGCCCCCTCCCCCGCACCACAGCGGGCACCTTGCCCTGACATTGGGCTCTTCCTCCCCTGCCTCAGACACTCTGGTGTCCCTGCTCCCTTCCACTGCGGAGCCAATTTCTTCTCCCCTCCAGCCTCTGCCCCTCCACCCTCCGCCCTGGCCTCCGGCTGCCCTTGCACACTGTCCCCCGACGGCCACCAGGCTGTCTCCAAGCTCAGAGGTGGGGAGGGAGGGATCTGAGACGAGCCTCTCAGCTCGGTCTCCCACCGCAGTCTCTGATAGGCCTGTCTGGAGCCCCATCCAGGCTCTGGGTGCCCTTTGCCGTGTTGTAACCCCCTAGACTGTGGTGGAAGGAGCACTGGCCTGAGGGAAGAGACCTCGTTCTCATCCTTTCTCAGTGCCAAATGTCTGCGTGACCTTGAGCAAGTCCCTTCCCAGCGCGGGCCTATTTCCTCACCTGTGAAATGAGGGGGCGTGGGCTGGATGATCTCCAAGGTCTCTTCTGACATTCCAGCGATGTTGTGTCTCTCTTCTGGGTGATTTGCATATGCTTTGCATATATTAATAGTGCCTGCTTAAAGGGGGAGGGTGCCGCCCACACCAGCCCCAGAGTCCCACCTCCCCTTGCCCATTGGCCCATGCTTCCACTGCTGGAATTTCCCAGAGGGGTGAGAGCTGAGGCCTGAGCAACTGGGGAAGTGAGTCTGGCCCTTATGTTCCAGCCACGCTGGGGGCCCAGGGAGTGTGGCTCTAGTGGAGGGGACCCCTGCCCTCACTACTCCTGCCAAGTGGTGTGTGGATTCACCAAAATTGCCCACTGCTA